GGGCAATGTAGTTTTTCACCAGGAATTCAGCTGTTAAACACGACTGTTTAAAAGTAATTTGAAATCATGCAGCTTCAACGAAAGCATATAACATCAATTAACAACCATGTAGCTCACAGTAGGTCTGCCTTTAAAGGTTTAGAAGTTATTGTTAAAAATCAATTCCACTATGGAGAAAATGAATGGGCTTTTTACTTCCGGAACCCAGCTGTCACTGTTAAAACACTACTGTATATGAGAAAATGATGAAAAAAAAACGAATAAAAAAATACAGTTATTCCATTAGATGGCCTTATAATTTGTGGTGCTATATTGACAGCTGTTGGCAAATCTAGATCCATTTTGTTGATGCCAATTTAAAGCTCTTATTTATTGGAGACTGAGGATGAGAGGTAAAACTATAAGTTTAACCAATTAGAAATTAGGTTGTTGTGTAAAAATATAAAGTTTTTATTGTGTGTGTGTATGTGTGTGAGCGCACTACTGTTCAAAAGTTGGGAGTCAGTAAGATTTTTTTTTTTGAAACAAAGAAATCAATTTCCATTTTTTCAGATATTCAATATTTTCAATACTCTTTTATTCAGCAAGAATTGATGCTGAATTTGTATTTTTATTATTTTTTTATTTTAATCATTTATTTGTTTATTTATTTTTGCAACGCAGTGCCCTTTTTTGAGTGTATTATGTTACAAAAATATTATAATAAAAGTAATATATATATATCTATATATACAACTGTTTTCATCATTGATAAGATGTTTTTGAGCAGCAAATCAGCATATTAGAAGGATTTATTAAGGATCATATGAAGGATCAATAATATTTCACAATATTACTGTTTTCATGGTGTTTTTGATCAAACAAATGCATCTTTGGTGAGCATATGAAATTTTACTGACCCCCGACTTTTGAATGGTAGTTTGTATATATAATATTCATAAAACTTTTCATCTGCAGTTACAACTCTACTATAATAAAAGAAACAAATACAGTGTGTCCCAAAATATGCGGGATCAAATATCTCCAAAAAGATACTGCAAAACCACACTGTAGCGGTGTACTTTGAGGTAAATGAAAATCAGATCCAAATCAGTTCAAAACCAACCCACTGTTCTCATATCTGCACCACAGGCTCCTCACAGGCATTCATAAGGGGTCTTTAGTGTGCTATGAGAGGCTTGATAGGTGTGTTTTGTTCCTACGCCAAGTCTATTGAAATACCAATTGTCTCTGCATTAAGCTTTGGGCCTCCTCCGAGGAAATTCGGTTTTCCAGACTGACTCACTATATGGTTATGCAGTCAGCAACCTGAGAGCTTGAGCGTCTGTAATAGTGCCATGCAAAAGGTCTAGAGACGATTAAATGTGCAGTAAATGGGGCAAAGGAAATGTCCTAGTAAACACTGGGTGGTCATATTTATGATATGTTTAACCACGTATGATTTGATCTAGTGCAGTGGCTGTCAATTATGTTCCTGGCACTGCACATTTTAGATGTCTCCCCTATCTGACACACCCTGTTCAGGTCCTGGAGCCTCTAGTAATGAGCTGATGGTGTGTTAAATAAGGTTCAACTGGTACTCCAGGGCCAGGGCTGACAACCACCGATCTAGTGAAAACAGACTGACAAGTCTTTGCAATAATCTGCAGGTCATTCAAGTGCCTCCCACTGACAGACTCAGCACTAACCAGTTAATCTATCGACTTACCATTCACTCCTTACACTTCATCATTTGATCATAAACATTGTCCATAAATAAATGTGACAGACTGTCTGAGCCCAACCTGTTTAAGCCACCAAGAGAAATATATTGGACCCAGGCAGACAGCACAATGCTTTCTGATGAAAAACCGGCCATAAACTGCAGTGCGGCACCCACCACTAGCATCTTAACAAAATATTTCATGATATGATGATGAATATTTTAAACACATCTGCTTTACGCTGAGACACACATGATTCTGGGAAAAAGATCATGAATGACAGCTGTAGCAACTTAACTTAGCCTGCTAAACTTTACTGTACAAAACCTACTGCAACAAGCATTTTTGCTTTAATGTATGTATATAAAACTTCTGTCATTTTCCATTTCAAACAGCTTTAAAAAACCTATTAAAAATTATATGAAAAATAACACTTTATAATTGTTGCAATAACTGCAACAAGCATCTTTATCTATAATAAAAACAGTTTATAAGGAAGAATTTACAAGGAAGAATAGCTCAAATAAATGTATTTTTAAACATGTATCACTTATTTAAAATCATAAATAAACCTAGCATGCTGTGATTCCACACAAGATGATATTTATTCTCTTTTTTTTTATTTATCTATTTTTAAGTATAAATATTTTTCAAATCAAAATTCAACTTATGTATATTTAAAAAGGAATAAAAGTTGTAAATTGCACTTACCCCGTTTAAACATGTTGGATATTGTTAATTCTCTCTGTCCACTCTGGTTCATTTATTCTTGTATTCCAGACTTCACACTGTCAGTAAGATGCCAGGCGATCTATCAAACGTTGTCTGATTTAATCAGAATACATAAATGTATGTACTCCTATAGCTCAGATGAGACTTCTCGCTGAATTTCTATTTGGATAATTTATTGCAGTGCTGATGTCCATTTCATCCTGTGTGGTCCCGAGCAAATATTTCACTAGATGCAATTGAGAGCAGTCCAAAAGGAGATGAACACATTCTGCAGTATTAATTGTTATCCAGTGAATAGATTAAGCGGGGGCACCTGGTGGTGTAGTTCAGGTCTCAGCGACCCCCACGAAACAAGCAGTATTGTAGTATGTTATCCAGAAAAGCTCTAAAAGCTCCAATTGCCAGATACTGGCGCGTCTGAGAATCGGTTATCCCGCTAAAACACAGATTGTTGTGGAAAATCAGCAGATGGTCTTCAATCCGAGCCGCGGAAACTCTGGTGTCGGTCTCTCGCGCACTCTTCAGAGAGACTCTACGCCGAACTATGGGGAGGTGTCCCGCTGCCTCCATACAAAATCTCCAACAATCCACCTTCTTGAAAGCATTTCGTCCAGATATTTCGGGTCACGGGACACGGACAAATCACATGTATGAGCGTTACACCTTCAAATGTCGTGCGCGGTGAGTGAGTGGCGGAATGGACAGATGATGCGCTCCAGCTGAGAGATGCGCGTGCCTGTGATGCCTCTGAGCTGATGGGGCTCTCAATCCACTTATGGACTGTTGTTTTCCCTTTCTCCCTCCCCAAAATATCTGACACTACCATGTGTTGGTTTAGTGGTTGGTATATTCTTGGTGTGCGGAGCTCGATTAATCTCTCTCTCTCTCTCTCTCTCTCTCTCTCTCTCTCATTCTCTCTCTGTGTGTGTGTGTGTGTGTCTTTGTGTCTTGCTTTTCTCCCCTACTGTATCTAATATATATATATGAAACTAAATCGCAATATTATCCAGTCTGAAGTACGTTTTGTACTTTATATGATGTTTTGTCATATAAACAAAATGTGTTTCATAATATGTAAATTAACTCAATTTAGGAGGAGGAGCTAGATCAAATTGAAGTAATGCATGCTAAAAGGATATCATTTGGACCATTTATTTTTCGAAAAAGAGTTTTTTTTAAATAACCTAGTAAAATAAATTGTATGTAAAGACATGCATTGTAGCTTTTATCTTTATCAAAGATGAAAAAATGCAAGTATTATTATTATTTTTTTTTTCACCTCTATGTGTAGTTTATTTGCATCTGAGACACAGGAACACTTCCACTGATTCATTCACTGTGACTCAAGCTATAGCACTTCTGTCTCCATTCACAGGCAGATACACACCAGGCGACAGAGCACAGATGGAGATGAGGAGTCATGAAAGACTCTTTATAAATTTGATTAATGAGGAGACTGCAGGCTGTGAGAATGACAACTGCACCTGATTTTGTTGGATGCTGTAGATTGACATTATTCTTATTAAAAAATAAAAATAAAAAAAGCCCATAATTCCTTAAGTCCTGTTTTAGTTTCAGACTATGGATATAGGATAATGGGGGGAATCCTAACCAGGCTATACACACTCAGAAAAAAGGTACAAAAGCTGTCATTAGGGTGGTACCTTTTGAAATGATTGACCTTTGTACCATATTTACCCCTAAAGGGTGCATAGTAAAACCGTAAAGGTACATATTATTTCCTAAAGTAAGCCTAAATATTAGTATGGTATAGGCTACATATAAATATTTTAATAATTATAACAATATTTTGATTTTAGTTTATACATTTTATAAGTTTACATAATGTACAAATTTGAGATTAGGGAAAGAAATGTAAGTTTTCAGAACAAAAATTATTTTTTCCACTAAATTTGCCTTGCGTTTAAAAGGTGTTGAATTGAAAATGTTTCATCTTATGTTTACACATATACTCTCAGAAAAAAAGGTACAAAGCTGTCACTAGACGTACCCAAAGGTACAAAAGCTAAACGGTACATATTTGTATCTTTACCGCTAAACGGTACATATCAGTAGGCTACCTTGAATGTACATACTCTATTAGTAGGCTACTTTAAAAGTAGGCTATGTATTATTACCTAAACTGTTCATTATAGTACCTTTTGAAAGTAGGCTAAGTGTAAAGCCCCAGTGACAGTTTTGTACTTTTTTTTTTTTGAGAGAAACCTAATAAGAAACATTTTCAGTTAGACTAAATTACATTTTAAAACTGAACCACGACTCTAATCATAGAAAGGAGGGTAATGTCTGCTTGATAAATACTTTTCTCACTCAGCATATATGATTTTTGATACATATACATATCTGTTTTTTTTTTTTATTTTAGGAAGAGATCCCTTCCAATGGGATCAAATTTGCTTCTGGCGTCCTTGGCATAAATGTTTTAAAACTTTTTCCTTGCGTCTCAATACATCGCTCATATCGATGGTATCGACACTTGATTTGCTCACATCAACTCTGCGTTCGATGAGTAATGCCTGATTCACTCCACGTGCACTTGTTTGGGGAAAGATGGCGGCTCCCACTAGCGAGATTGAAGTGGTCGCTGCGAAAAAAACAAATGGTGAGTATTAATAGTTAGATTTGTTGTAATACTTTTAAAAATCGTGTTTGCGATATCTGTCAGCTATAAACTCCAGATCGGGTTTTAAAAGAAACATCGAGATAAATCTGCATGCGCTAATTCTGTCTGATGCTGTGTGAAATATATGGTGCCTTATAAGATATATTGCTGTCACTATGTTAGTACTACAGATGTATTCAGAAATGTTCTTATGTGATCTAAACTGTAGTATGTGTTACTGCAGTTACATATTAACACCGGGACTAGTTGTCACACAGGGACGTTGTGAAAAAGGTTAAATATCTCTGACTGTAAGTTAAAATGCACAGATGTGTTTATTTATTAGTAGTTTTGTATTTTGGTTTCACACACCACCAACTATTCATTATATAAACTGTAGTCTATGTTGCTCAACAGAGAAATGTAATTTTTTTTTCTGTATAGTATAATATACAGAAAATATTGTTGCCTAATAACTGTTAAAGATAAAATGTGTGACACCTGGTCCCCATAGATGTGTAAATGCAATTAATGTGTGTTGATGTGGTCTCTGAATATTAGGTACCATGGTTTTTCAAATGGTTAACTAATCTCACTCAAAACATTTGTTTGAAATCATATATCATGATTAAATTATGCACAATTGTAAAACTGTAATAGAGGTGCAAAACAACTGGTTGGCTGTAATGAGAAAATAGTTTCAACTTTTGACATCAGTGCTATTTTTGTCTGCAAATTGAAGAGATCTTCTGTGTTTCTTTAAGCTTTACTGACCATGAGATGGTAGCATCACTTGGCTGCAGTAGGCTTGTGATAAATGATTGTGTTTTGTGTATTCCCATCAATCCTGCTGCTCTCAGATCACATGTCTGTCCTCTTCTTCCTGCCACCCTTCTTCCTGTCCTCAGCATTTTCAAGCTCACTGCAGATATGTAAGCGTTCTGCAATCTGTCTAAACACTGTCTTCAATTTCTTGCTTGCTGTGTTGTCTGGCTGAAAATGGGAATTATTTTAAGAATGATTATAATATTTGTTGTTTTCTGTCATCTATAGTTTTTCATATGTGTTAATAAAAAGTTATACACACCCTTTGAAGTTTTTCTTACAGCATTGAACCTTTATTTAAATGGTTCTTATTGGCACAATACTAATCCTTTTTTTTTTTGTAAATATATAAATACAATGTATTACATTTATTCATAACCATTTTTGCTTAAATAACCCCATTAACTTGGTAGATGAGCTTTACTTGACTTTTTTTTTTTGTTCAAACAGAGACTTTCTCTTTGCCGGTATCCCTACACCACCATTTGTCTCTTGGTGGCAATTTATTTTGAATGCCAGAAGAACACATTATCCGAACATATCGTTTGCCAAGCCATGTTATTTTAAAATTTTGCTTCAGGAAATAAAAGACGACTTGGAACCATCGGTGTTTTGAACCGTGCCCGAGCGCATATTTGACCCCCAAAGCCCGGTTTGTTTGACTAGTGTGATCGCTCCGGTGCCGCGCTCGGGCGCGGTTCGTTTAGCCGGCCCTGGCCCGGTTCGGTTGGGCTCGGGCGCGGTACGCATGCAGTGTGAGCGCTAACCGCGCTGGAGCAGGGAAAAGATACTATTTTGTGTGCGCTACTGTCATCATTATGACCGCAAACATATTCTATTACTACTACTACACTACACTTTTCAATTAATTTAATTTAATCAAGTATATTTAGGTTTATAATGGCTCTGGTTCTTACCTTATTGATGAACGGGAAATGTAGTTTGCGAGTAAAGCTGCAAATTATTTCATTAACGTCAGCTGCCTCCGTAATAATTTTCTGATACATACAAGTGAAAATCAATGCACGGCATAAATTATAAATTAATTATTATTAATTATTCGGCAGAATATTAGCGAAAGTGGTTTTCTCCGTTATCTCATACATGACGTAAACGTGCTCCGGCCCGGAATGTTTAGTTCAAGTGTGAGTGCAGGCCAGCGGGGGAGGGGGGATAATCGCGCTCGGGCTCGGTTCAAGGCAACGAGCTGTGTCTCATTTAGAAGGCTGCGCCCTCCGGAGGTCGAATCCTCTGGAGCTTGTGTGCACATCTGCTGGCGCCGGCATTTTTCAAATTAACAACGGTTGTTTACGGCGACGCAAAGAATTGTGGGTTATCTGTAGCAGCAAAGGATACACCTCATGCATCCTCCGAATTCCTGTGAAAGAAGGTCGCATTCGGAGTGTCCTACTTGCTTTTCTGAAATGAGACAGCCTCGATAACGTATGCAGCCTTCGAATGCGACCTTCGGAGGGCGCAGCCTTCTAAATGAGACACAGCTCGTGCCTAGTGTGAGTAGGAGTCACGCAATACCAGGTCTATCAAAACTTCTCGCAAACCTTCATTTTTTTGGCCTCCGGTTCTTTTCAACGTAGGCTACTGTGGCGTCTTTATTTCTTTATTCTTATTTGCGACTACGCTAATTTGCGCTGCGCTTGGTATATTGCGTTGATCGATATGTAAATGAGATGTTGCGTCTGTGTTCTTTAATTTGCGCGTTGTTAGTAAATCACCCGCAGAAATTTCCCCTCCCATCTGCGCTGTTTTGGAATTGCGCTCGCGCTAATTTGCCCTGTTTAGTAAATCTGTCCCTAAAAATCTTAATTGTTCCTAACTTTTAACTGGTAGTGTAGGAATAGCCATTCACTAAACTATAGCCAGAACTTACATTACAGATGGTCTGTCTGTCATAGACTTCAAAAATAAATGGACATCGCTGACAGACTCATTCTGCTGATGACTGACCTCTCAGTTCAGCAGCTGTTCTGACGGCACTGATTGATTGTGTGATGATTAATTTTGTATCTGAGAAATGAGTGCACATGGGCTTTCCTTGTCTTATTATAGACTGTAGCCCAATCAGTGTTCGAACTATACCTTGGACTTTGGGGGAGCCCACTTGTTTTTTTTTTAAACAAATATCTTTGTATGACTTACAAAGATACATAACAGCTACAAGTGTATGCACTACTTGCTTTATGCAAGCGCTATATAGGATAAATCACTATACAGGATTACCCTATTATACTTTATCGACACGAATGAATAGGTGAAACAACAAACAGCCACCCACAAATAGTCTATAAACAAAGCATCAGGCTGTCTGAGTTCACATGAACAACGGTTAAAGTTACTCAACCGCAGAGTCCAGCGTTTATATTTTTTCTACGAATCTTTGAGTTAACGTACTAAACATGAGTGGAATTTGCACCGCAGCGCCCCCACACCTTGATGCTCATGACAAGAATAGCATGTATAGTTATCTTTATTGAAGTGAATTAGGTTTAAATCGCCGTCATGCATGAATGAATGATATTTTTGCAATTTAACACATAATAATCCACAATGATCACATTACACAAAACTGAAATTGCACGTCAAAATAACACATTGTCAATATTTTTTGAGACCCCCCCAAAATTTCACAAATCACGTTTTCAGGGGAGCCCATGTCTTATTAAGGGGAGCCGAGCTCCCCCTAGCTCCCCCGTAGTTCGCACCCTGAGCTCAATCAATTTCTTATAAAAAAATAAAATTTTTAGTGGAACTTGCTAAGGCAGTTTGTAATTGCACATATACTGTATTGCACTGTATGGTGTCTTTACAGACACGTGTGTTCAGTAATGCTTACAGCAAACTTAAATGAAGTGAATTAACTGTCTTTTTAATGTAGTGCGAGGACCGAGGAGAGTGGCCAATCATATTCCTGACGAGATCCTCAAAGATCCAGAGCTCATCAAGGCCATTAAGGCTTTGCCAGCTAACTACAATTTTGAGATCCACAAAACAATATGGAGGGTGCGACAAGCCAAAGCCAAGAGAGGTGAGTACATTTAAAATCGTTTTGTTGAAAAAGTTAATATGGTAAAACGACAGTGCTTTGTTATGCATTTAAGGTTATATTGAGCTATTTACTTTAGATATCATTTTTCCACTATGTGTGCGAATAAACTTTTGATTTGCTGCCTACTTCAACAAAAGGGACAACACTGCTATATATTGTAGGTATCTGCAAAATGGTTATATGTTGTATTTTTTGTTATTAGGCTTACAGTTTCAGTTCCAGAACATTAGTCATTATGATTGTCTGTCTATAGAGAATTAAATTGCCTTAAAGTTAATCTCTGTTTGCAGGATAATGCAGTAGCATTACATAATGTATGTCTTGAGCTCATTGTTTTTATGAGAGCATACAGGCTGCATTATATAGATTAATGTTATTCACTATTGTGTTATTTTAGTTATACGGACAGTGTCAAGCAAACTGAAAAGCAGAATTGCCTTGGAGGTTTCCACAGGCATAAATTAAGATGTGGTCTTTTTGCTGTTCCCTGGAACAAAGTGCAAACTTTAAAATTACTGCAGAGGGCTGCTTTAAATCAGCTGGGAAAATTGGTGAAATTCATGATGACATTTAGAGGCATAATTACCTAATTTTATCAGGACTTTGGTTCAGCAAAATGTGGAAGATATAGATATTAGCTTATTAACCATCAACTGATTCTGCTTGCCACAGTACAGAATGACTTTTATTCTTCAGAGCACAGCAGCTTGAAATATCTTGGCATTTGATTTTTATTCAGATTTTGGTAACACTTTACATTGAGGTTAAATTTGTTAACTTTGTTCATTCATTATGCATTAAGTGCATTACAGAATTTACCTTGGTTAATGTTAATTTCTACATATTATGCAGTTTTTAAAATTTGAAGCTTTGTAAATAGTTAATATTTGTTGAATATACATGAATTAGCAACAAACAATATTATATTGAAAATTAAACATTAACTTAGATTTAGGGCTGTGCAAATAATCGAATGCGATTTTCATGCGCATCTCGTCAGTAAAGCCGGTTCTGTGATTAGTAGTAAATCTCCAGCACGTGCTTTCAGATGGAGCGGCATTTACTACACAGAGCCGTAAGTTCACTGACGAGCTACGTAAAATCGCGTTCATAATCGCAAATGAATTCGATTTTGCGTAGCTTGTTAGTGAACTACGGCTCTGTGTAGTAAATGCCGCTCCATCTGAAAGCACGTGCTGGAGATTTACTACTAATCACAGAACTGGCTTTACTGACGAGATGCGCATGAATATCGCATTCGATTATTTGCGCAGCCCTACTTAGATTAATAACTGATGTTTAAAAATTGTTGTTTGTCATTAGCTTATGACGTCTAATGCATTACATGAGGCTGAGGAATTGAAACTTATTGTAAAGTGTTACTTAATTTCTAACAATTATTGAGGTCTCAATTATTTATTCTTTGGAGAAATATGTGATAAATTAAAGGTTCTAGTTGTTTTGTTGTGATGTTTTAATCTGTGTCCACAACGGCCAGTGTTTTGCATCAAAATATGTTATATCCTCTGTAGTGACTTCCATAAGTGGTTTTTGCAAAAATCCTGTCAGATTGGTGTGAAATTACTCCCCCCAGGAAACAACACTTATGGCTTGTTTGAAACCGCTCTAATGAGATGTCATACAGTTTCTTAGTGAGATTTTAGCAATTATAAGTGGTCAAGACTTCCCAGGGTCGCCCCACGCTATCTTACTATAGCATTTTCCTGTAGACTATCCACTTTAATGGATGAAATGACATCTTATTCTAAAGCATGTGCTTTACCTCCTCAAGCTAACCTCGGAGAATTTCATCACGGCATAAAAAAAGATGATGAAATCACAGCAAGCAGCTCGCTAATCCTATTATTTGTGCGGTATCATTTATCGTTATGCAAATTTAATCCTCATTTAGTTTGATGCGTCCAATCAAGAGCTGTTTATCTTGCTGTTGATGATGAATTGACTCAGCTTGAAGGCCTTGTCGTGAGTGCTGTAGCTTAGACTTGTGGATCTTAATCCAGCAACCCTTTGGCTGTTTGCTTGTTTAGCCTGCGTTCTTAATCTGTCATAACCATTGGGATGGCTGTGAACTGCAAGCCAAAGATGTTATACCAATGACACTGTCCTTAACATGTCAGAACAGCTGAGTCAAAATAGGCCAGTAGTGCAGTTGTGTGAACACCCAAAGTTTGGTTTCAAGAAATGCCATTGAAATGTGACCTTTTTGGGCTTCGAATTACGATTTGTCTCTTTAAATCTCACCCGACCGACCTCGTATCCTCTCACTTTGGTCATGCGTCACTGTCTGATGGCAGTTCGTCCCAAGGGCCTGTTGAAGCATGTCCTCCATCATTCTAGTGCAGGTGTCAAAGAGCCTTCAGGATGGGTCATTACACAGTAAGATGAAGGAGAGCAAGGCGAGAGGTTGGTTTCAGTATATTTAGATACATGTACACCTTAAGGAATCTGTCTGTAGATTTCAGACCTACATCGATGCCCAATCTTTAATCACAAAAAGTCCTAATAATGCGTAGCTGCAAAAATGCCCAATTTCAAGCCTCTATTGATATGAATGACAACAGACAAGTGTTTGATGTGCTTGAATGTGTTAGCAGGTGGCTTGTGCTGAGTACTTTCATGGGGATTGGACAGAATGCTACAGTCTGCGGGGCTCTTTGTTGTAGAGGGTTTTCGTTTTAAAAGCCCCCTCTATTTCTGGACTCAATGGGCAAAGATCATGTTGAGCAGATTCTCTTGTTCTCTTTTTCTACCTTTTCCACAATCTTTCATGTTTTCCACCATTATTTTTTTAAATATCCATAATGAAGCAGTTGCTCTAAATCTTAAAAAATTGTCATGACTCAGTATGGACCCTTTTTCTGTTAGTAAACATTGTGATGTTTTTCTGTGGGCGGAGCTTAGATAGAGGCAGAAAGATTCCCCTGACTGCTTCACTAACGCTAGCTATGAAGTTTGTTAGCTTGTTTTTTTTAACAATGACTGGAGAAAATCTGATTTTACCTGCATATGTAAGGTCACTCACTGTCCGGAACCGCGATTGTTATTTGAAAATGTTAACTTTAACGGATGAAACCAGATTGGCCTAGCCATACACGCTACCTCAAAGCATGGACGATCTGACAGAATTACCTCCGGTTGAGTGACTCAAATCTATAGAGAAACTAACGTGTATAGTAAAGAGAAACTCACAACTATATTAGAGAAAGATAATGTGACAAACTCACCTGTGTCTATCTAGTCATGAAGATGTATATATATTTCAATTTCAGCAGGCAACACTTTTTACAGCTACATGAGAGTGAACTGGGCCAAAATACAAAAAAGTAAAACATTCAATGTGATGGATATATTATTTGAAGATGTATGTATCATGTAATAGCCAAATAGTTATTTTAAAGTATATACCTCCTCTAAATGATGTAAGTTTACAGTGACATTACAGTACCTTTACATTACATACAGTACATTTAAAGCATGTGAATATTTTCTAGAAATAAAAATTCCAGAAACTGCTAATTTTGAACTTTCTATTTGATTATTCTTTCTTCCAAGTTTTTAAAAATTCCAGCGACAATCAATCACAATAACGTATATACAATTACAGATGATTAAGCATATAAATCGTCAGTTTGTTGTTTTACACACATGCACACAGACATTATTTCATACACGACATAGTCGTGAGATGCATAAGAAATCTTTAGACGCGTAACACAAACCATAATCCATAACAACAAAAGACAATACTTTTTAAAATCATTTTCTGATAAGTGTGCGCTGCAAACGCAAGCATTTTGATGATTGTTTCTGTCCAGTCCGCTTGTTTTATCGTGGTTAACCACAGCTGTCGTCGTTTTTTTTGTCTAGTAGAGGCAGCAGGTATGCATTAAAATCTCAAATTGGAGCCTGTATTACGTCGATTCTGGCACCCAACATCACAACAAGATGATATTTTAAGCTCCTTTTGTAGCTGAATCTGTGCTGGTTTGAATTGGCCGCCTCCAGTTTTCGCTTTGTTTTGCCTCCAGCTAGCACTGTGACCTAATTGTGACGTCAGCACAAAAAGGGTCTATAGGGCTCAAGATGTATAGATAAAAGAAAAATATGTATAAAATTTCTTTTTTAACACATTATTTCTTTCCATTGATCATATACATTTGTGTCTTCCAAATGTAAACATTTGATTTAGTGTGATGTATTATGAAGTAATGATTTGCACTACACCATCATTTCTGGGAAAACTATGTATAAATTGATTTCAAAAACCTTTATTGTTTAGAGCTGCAGGGCCTTGTCTATTTCACTTGTATGTAGCCCATTTGATGTATTTATTGTAGGCTAAATTGCGTCTGTATTTATTACCTGTGCCTGGTCACTGTGTATTCTGTGTCATATTAGATCTGTATCAAATATTCTTACGGTGCTGTGGCATCAGCACAGACTTCATCTACTTTCATTTCCTGCTATGATAAGGAGAACTTTATGTAATAAGGATGCTTAAATGTAATGTGTTATGCTGTAATGTTCTCTTGACCCTAGTGTACACATGATGAGACCAGTGAGTCACGACTGATATATAGACACGTTTTCCCCACACCTTTTCCACACTTGTGTATATATATATAACATTGTTTTGTTGCACATGATGTAGTCATTACCCTAGAGACCAGCACTTTTCAGAGATACATTTCCTGTCTGTAGTGAGAGGTTGTGTGTAAAATTTGAGAATGAATCATTATGATTCATTCATTGTGCATTGGTAGACATAAACGACATCCTGAGAGAAGTCTACAAATATCATAATTTGTCTGTTAATTAAAGGATGCTATTAAATTATAATATAAATAAAAAAATGGTGATGTTGCACAGCTCATTATTTTGCTAAAGGTCTTGAGTTTAAATATGCACATTTTTTAATGGACCAGGTAAAATCACAACTTTATGTCAGAGGGTAAATG